TTAAAAGCAAAATAATATTCACCAAATTTCATGTTTCTTAGGTCCATGGGATCCTAAATATTATTGGGTGGGGAACATTCTTACCTATTGGAGTGATAATTGCAAGATACTTTAGGATATATCCATTCAAAAACAGTTGGTGGTTCTACCTTCATGTCTGTTGCCAAACTGCTGGCTTTGTGATTGGCACCCTTGGCTGGGGAATTGGACTTGGTCTTGGACACTCTTCAAGATTCTACAGCTTCCATGTTCACCGGATACTGGCTATTTGCATCTTTGCCTTCAGCACATTACAAGTAAATTTCTCAAGTTTCTTTTGTACGAAAAAAATGGGATCAATTTCTTCTTCTTTTTTTCTTTTTACATTGATGTAAAATAACACATCAACTTAGACAAATTAATAAGATAATTAATTAGTGAGATGATTTTTTTTTTTTTTTTGTTGAGAGTGCATCTGCCTTTATCACCATAATGAGAGGATATTTGGATATTTTGCCTGATTCTTGTGACTTTGGTTCTAATTTGATTGTTTTCCGACCCCAAAGCTCTGTCCTTGGTCTCCATTTTGTTGCAACTTGATGGGGAAATACTCATAACCTCCAAAGTTTGGATTCATTGAATTTTCTTACTCTTTTTTAATTATTATTATTTTTTTCAGCTTCTGGCTTTCCGTCTGATTCCAACGAAGCAAGATGAGTACAGGAAGCACTGGAATTTGTATCATCATTTTTTGGGATACACACTGATTGCCATTATCACAGTGAATATATTTCAAGGGATTGACATATTAAAGCCACGAAACGTTGGTTGGAAACGGACTTACATTGGGATCCTGATGGCGTTAGCCATGATTTTTTTAGCTTTGGAGATTTGCACATGGATTAAGTTCTTGGTCTCAAAGAAGGTTAAAAAAGGAAGGGAAACACCAAACCATTAGCACACCACCCCCTTCATCAACATCTGGATAAAGAAACATGCATGCACCTCTGCATGCACCTCAGCATGCAATTATGCATGCATCTTTATGTATTTAAAATTTGTTGGTAAATTGATTTCCTCTTCCTCTTGTTTAAATGTTTACGAGGGACAGACATTTTAATATTAAAAAAAATTTCTATCTAAGGATATTTATTCTATAAATTTATTATAATTTAAATTATAAAACAACACTCTTAATTGATTTTATTGTATAAAATAAAGAGTAAGAGCATCTCTGTGAAGACTTCTAATACAAGCAATTATACTAGCTACTAATATGCTATACTTAATTATTAGTTCTTGTCAATTATTTAAATAATTCAATGGTTACCTTCTTCTATTAGAAATAAAAAGTCTTGAATTTAAATCGCATGACATGCGGATGTGGTGAAATAAAAGATGAAAAATGATTACTTTTCATTTACAACCAAGATAAAAAAATAAAATAAAATATCAGTTCTTAGGATTCAGTCGCACTACAAGCATTTATCCTTCTAAATAGACAGGCATCAGGTAGGTAATATGGTAGCAAAACGGATTCTTTCAAAGAAAAGAAATAGACCCTATAACCACAAAAAAAGTTTTTATTTTCGGCCAAGCATTTTTAGGCGACCAAAATAAAATCTACATTTTTGTTGTTTCCTTTTACAGCTTAAGAATATTTTCAACCTTTTATATTTTAAGAAAAAAGATTTAAATGTATTATTTTGGTGATAATCTCTTTTTTATAAAATTAAAAGATTTTAAATTTAAATTATTTAATAAATAAACACATAAATGTAATGAATTTTAAATTTTTTTAAAATTATTTTTTTATTATACAATTTAAATTTTATACATTACCATATTCATAATTTAAGATGCATCCACATAAAAATAAGTTTTAAGATATAAAAATAAGGACAGGACATGACACATGAGTGGGTGAACTTATAAGAGCCAAGTTAAAAAAACTAAACCAAACCGAGTTAAGAATATTTAATTCTCTTGGGTCAGTCCGGACTGACAAAAGATAATTTTATTAGTAATATTTTTTTTAACATGATTTTATTAGTAATATTTTGGTCCATAAAAAATAAAAATTCACATCCATTATTTTATTCGTAGAGAACACTGAAATTCTGAAAATGAGTTAAAACCAGAAAAAATTGTGGAAGGTTTGGAAAATGGCAGCGCCGGCGGCAGTGGAGGGAGTAGCTGTGACGGCTCTCCGCTCAGTCTTCCTTCGAGTCCGGCAAGCGGCGGAGCGGGCAGGGACGCAAACGGAACGTGTACGGGTCGTGGCCGTATCCAAGACGAAACCCGTCTCCCTTATTCGCCAAGTCTATGACGCCGGCCACCGTTGCTTCGGTGAAAATTATGTCCAAGAAATAGTCGAGAAAGCTCCTCAGGTTGTTGTTTTAATCGGATTTCCGGTCTTTGGAACTGAATTTGGGACTATGCCAGTCCTGTGTTCTATTTTTCCTGCTAATTTCTTGGATTATTTTTTTTCCTTTTTTGGTTTTTGCACAGCTACCTGAGGATATAGAATGGCATTTTATTGGCCATTTGCAGAGTAATAAGGCTAAAACGCTCCTGGGTATGTTGATCTTTCAAGTACATTTTAGTGATTGTTCATTCATTTCAATTTGCATCCCTCAGCGGGTTTTGTTCATTATTTCTGTGTAAATTCTTCTGCTCTTAAGTTCAATCAAAGAGTCTGGAATTATAGTCCCTTTCTTTAATGGTAAATATTTTAAAAAATTAAACTTTGGTTATGATTGGTGTAAATTTTTAATCACTATGAATGTTTAGAGTTCTACTTGTTTTAATCATACTGTGAAGCTGACATCATCTCCAAAAATGGGGATGATGAATTATGAGAGTTTCATTTTCAAAGTTTTCATTTTTCTTTTACCCTTCAATGCAGGTGGAGTGCCAAATCTAGCCTTCTTTCATGGTGTAGATAATGAGAAGGTAAAGACTTTCACCAGTGTCTATTATGGGTATGGGTATGGGTATGGAATGTAGCACACAGCAAATAGGTATTAGGTTCTTGGCTGACCTAAGTTAAAAACATTTGCAGAAGTTTAACAAAAACGTTTATAGTTTCCAGTTAATTGTATGTTATGAAGATATGTGCGGTTCTGCTGGTTTCTGTGTCTTATATCTGTTTTGAGCCTGCCTGCTAAACTTTCAGAAATCACATAGCAAGTTTTAGTAGCCTGGATGAAGGCAACTAAACTTGTAAGAGATTATAGATCCCCTAACAGGTTGCTTATGGAGGCAATGTTTTGAACTGAGATATCTTTGTAATCACCAGATTGCAAATCATCTTGACCGAGCAGTTTCAGGCCTTGGGAGAAATCCTCTGAAGATTTTTGTACAAGTAAACACCAGTGGAGAAGCATGTGAGTATAGACAATTCCTCTAACATTTGTCAAGTAAATCTGAAACTTAAATTCAATTTTTGGCTTTGTTGCTTATCATTTGTATTTAAGCCTTCCTGATAAACTTGTTAGATTGATAATTTATTTGGTTGCTTTCACATTGTTGCAGCAAAATCAGGGATTGATCCCTCTGATTGTGTGCATCTTGCTGAATATGTTAAATCACACTGTCCAAATTTGTTGTTTTCTGGATTAATGACAATAGGAATGCGGGACTATACATCAACACCAGAGAACTTCAAGGTAATGGATTTCATGCCAACCACACAGTATTGTGTAAAAATGAAATCTACTCTCCTATTGCATCGGAAAGAACTCCATTGGTTGTGGTTCAAGCATATAATGCTACTTTATGTATTCTCATAGCACTTCTTCATGAGGTCATTGACCATCACAGGATTGTAAAACAATATATACCCCTTTTCCTAGTGTATATACTTTCTTTATTTTTAATGTTGTTTGCTTTGGGTCTTTACCATTCAGCAATATATCTTCCTATCTCTTCTTTGTATTCCGGCTGTTAAATTTTCTCAGCCATAAGTTTATATCTTCTGATGCAACAGACACTATCAAATTGTAGACTTGAGGTTTGCAAGGCACTTGGAATGGCGGAGGATGAGTGTGAGCTATCAATGGGCATGTCGGGTGACTTTGAGCAAGCGGTATGGAGTACATTATGTTGCAACACACTCCTATGTTTCCTATGAGAAATAAACCCTTGTTTCTAAATGTTTGAATTCTTTTAGATATCCTGACTGGAACCATTATCTGCTTATTATTGCCTGGTCACTGAGAAATCATGTCTTCTGATACTTGTAGCAACTTGTTTCATAAGAAATGCGGTTTACTAGGAAGAACTGAATCTTCTGAAAGTTTCAACCTCAGAATCTGGGCAGCATTAAAAATACATGAATGTTATTGCTCTCTTGCGTTCTGCTGATGAATGTTGCTCTATGACTGGATGCAGATTGAAATGGGAAGTACTAACGTGAGGATTGGATCAACTATCTTTGGACCAAGGGAGTACGCAAAGAAGCCGCAGAATTGACATCTTCATGTTCACCGCTCTCGCTCACATGGGTTCCTTATATACTATTGTAATATTTTAAATTGATTGTTCATGTACTTAAATTTCTATTGTGTAGATTACCTCCATACCAAAGATGAAAAATATAAAATACTTCCATCATGTCTTGTTGTTAATTGCTTGTATTCAGCATCTTTTAACAATAAAAGTTATTTCAATCTCCGTAACAAACAGCATTTACGTGATTGATTGTAAGTTTGAATTTTAAATATATTAACTTAGGAAAAAAAATTAACTTTAACATAATCACTAGTTGCTAATTGCATAAAATTCATGTGTTACATGCTATAATTAGAGAGAGTGATTGAAAGAAAGTGTTGAAATAGAAATGTGTAACTAGAACCCTCATAATCTTAAATAATAGTTATTCTCTTTTTCTCCTAAATTAAGTGAAAAGAATGTCTGATACTAAGTGGTATAATAGTTATTCTTCTTTCAATAGGTGTCAAAACAATAATATTTTGAATTCTATGTTCAAATCTTCTCCCATCTCTAAAAATTTCCCTTGTTCAAAAAAAAAAAAGAAAAGAAAAGAAAAAAGTGTACATATTAGTTGTGAATTACTTATACAGTTTGGATTTTATTAGATTGTGTTACTTATGAATTACTTTACCATTTAGATTTTATCAAATTGTGTTACTTAAATTATTAAATATCACAAATTTTTTAATATTGAAAGCTGTGTCTAATGATACTTCTTTTGCCATTCAGTATTAGTCAAAACTGCAAACTGTTTTACCAAAAAAAAAAAAAAACTGCGAACTGTAAAATATAGTTTTCAGAAGATTATGACTGACGGCTCAAAATTTCTTAACTGAACATCCAGTCCAAATTCTTATGGTCTATCAGCCCACAAGAAAAAAGGTTCACTTGCAAAAAGCCTCTCCTCGCTAAGTGCAAAACAACTGCTGTTTTTTCTCTGGTTCTCTACTAAGAAATGACTTCACTTTCTCTTCGACTCAAATTTTCTCTGTATCCTCACAATAGAAAATTTCATTTCCAGCCCCAAAGTGAGTTTCAGATAATAACCTTTCCCAGGAAAGTAAAATTAAAGATTAGCTGTTCTGCTACAAACCCGCAACAGCAAGAAGAAAAGCGAAGGGGAAACAACCCGAAGAAGAAGAAGAAAAATGTAGCTGGAAGTGAGAAAGGGGTTGACCCAGTTGGATTCTTAACGAAACTCGACATTACCCATAAAGCTTTTGCTCAGTTTCTCCGGGAAAGGTATAAACTTTAGCTATAAAATAACTGAAGAAAAAGAGAATTGGTATTATCTGTTTGGTGACTGGGAAAATGAAAGCGGAAATGAGCGAAATGGGAAAAGCTGAAAGGTGGGGTTGTATGGTTTTTAGTTTTGTGGGAGTTAAGAGGTCATGCTTCCAAAGATTTGGTAGTGGATATTGTTTTGCTGTGTGTCTTTCCAAGAAGTAAAGGAAAATAAAAGAACATACTGTAGAAATGTTGGAATTTTTATGCATTGCTTATCATCTTTATAGGGCAATCATGTGCTACTGATTTTTTGGTGTCAATTTTGCAGGCATAAATCGTTGAAGGACCTTAAAGATGAAATCTTTAACCGCCACCTTAATCTTCAGGAGATGGCTTCTGGGTTAGCTAAGAAATTTCCAATTTCCATTTTCTAATGTTGTGTTATCATATTTGAGTCTGTTTTTGGGGTTTGATTATTGGTAATCATAGTGCCAATAAAGCTTCATGTTTTGTTTTCTGGAAAGGATTGAGTGCTGGAATTTGTTTCCATGTGTTTGTCAAATTAGAAGTATGATTGCTTTAATTTTTCAGTGCTGTAAGCCTTTGTGCCTTTGAATCCCATTTCAGCGAATTGATGTTTTGTTGAGTATAATTGTTGTTTTTATTTTTGTTCAGGTATGAGATATTGGGTATGCATCGAAATGTGGAACACCGTGTTGATTATATGGATTGGGCTTCAGGTTTGGCATAGAGTTTCAAATTCTTGAGTCATACCGTGTTCAAGTCTTGGCTTTATGCCTGAACTTTTAGCTTAAATTCAACTTTTTTCTTTAATTTAATTTTTTTAATAATTTTGGATACCCTTGTGCTTTTAAATTATCATTTTTAATTCAGTTTTCAGAAACATTTAGGTTATCTTATCAAACATATCACTTAATGAAGCTCTTTGGATTAGTTTATATGAATTGAATGCCATCAGAGATAATTTTGCAAAGAAGGGTACCATCATTAGTCTTTTAGCTTATTTCATTGATGAAAACTATGCATGTTGATAACAGGTGCCCGCTATTGCTCACTGGTTGGTAACTTTAATGGGTGGTCACCAACAGAGAATGCTGCAAGGGAGGGTCATTTTGGCCATGATGATTATGGATACTGGTTTATCATTCTTGAAGATAAATTAAGGGAAGGAGAAAAACCAGATGAACTCTATTTTCAGCAGTATAACTATGTGGATGATTATGATAAAGGTGACAGTGTTACTATTGAAGAAGTTCTTGAAAGAGCAGATGATGAGTACTGGGAACCTGGAGAGGACCGCTTTATTAAGAACCGGTTTGAATTGCCAGCAAAGTTATATGAGCAGCTGTTTGGTCCTAATGGACCTCAAACAATTGAGGAATTAGGAGAAATACCAGATCCTGAAACAAGATATAAGGCATGGAAAGAACAGCATAAAGATGATCCTCCAACTAACTTACCTCCATTTGATGTCATTGATGATGGAAAGGACCATGATATTTTTGATGTTGTAGCAGATCCTGTGTGGCAAGAGAAATTTCGTGCCAAGAAGCCTCCCCTGCCATACTGGATGGAAACACGCAAAGGAAGGAAGGCATGGTTGAAAAAGTACACCCCAGGTATTCCTCATGGAAGCAAGTATAGGGTTTATTTCAATACTACCGATGGTCCTCTAGAACGAGTGCCTGCTTGGGCTACTTATGTTCAACCAGGTAAATGTAGTCTCTGTTTGATCATTTCTTGCTTCCCCTTTGTAACCTAGTAGCTCATAACCTGTCTGCACATACAATTTATGTTCAGATGCAGCAGGAAAGCAAGCCTATGCCATACACTGGGAACCTCCTCCTGAATGTGCATACAAATGGAAGAACATGTCCCCTAAGGTGCCAAAGTACTTACGCATATATGAATGCCATGTTGGTATAAGTGGATCAGAGACTAGAATATCTTCTTTCAATGATTTCATTGAGAAGGTAAATCTGTGTTGAATTTTTTATATAGCTTTTGTGTTGTAATAGGTCATTGTCTTCAGTTTTACACTAAGGCCTTCCCATTGTAGGTCCTTCCTCATGTAAGAGAAGCTGGATACAATGCAATCCAGTTGATTGGAATCGCTGAGCACAAAGATTATCACACTGTTGGTTATAGAGTAAGTAAAAACATTCTCAGAAACCTTCATTTCTGGTTTAATATTTTAAATTTTGATTCATTTAACTTTTTTAGTTTAAAAGTCCAAAATCTTTTCTCTTTCATTTTTGTGGGACTTAATATAATTAGGTTCATACTCTGGTTGTGAATTGAACTGTAATTTATAGATTAAAGAATTACAATAAACTAAAATGACATTACGTAAAAGCTAATTTTCAAGTTTGACAGTTGAAATTTTCTTTAATAATTTGTGTCTCAAGTTTGATTACATTGGCTATGTCTTTTAGTTGCATAACTTATGATTAGGTCATTATGTTACATGGACACCATATTAGACGTCCACTAGATGATTAGGCAGCTATTTCTTAACTTTTCCAATGTCTTTTGTCCGTGATGGTTAGGGGAAAATAATCATAAAATTGTAACTCATATTCTGTCATCTCTTTGTGCTTTTCTTTATCACAGTATCATTTGGTGCAGTAGGGTGTATAATTGTGATCTACCATCTCCATAATGCAGGTCACAAATTTTTATGCTGTTAGCAGCAGATATGGCACACCTGATGACTTTAAGCGCTTGGTTGATGAAGCACATGGTTGCTAAACTGTGATTTCCTCCTTTTTGGCTTGGCTTCATTCTTTCTGGTTAATAAAGCTTATGTATTGTTTACCTTGCAGGATTAGGACTGCTTGTCTTTTTAGACATTGTGCATTCCTACTCAGCTGCTGATGAAATGATTGGACTTTCAAGATATGATGGATTAAATGATTGCTACTTTCATAGTGGTAAAAATTTCTTTTACTGATCTGTTTTCTGCTGCAGTCACTTAATGCCAACCTTTTGTGTCCTCAGCACTTTAGTAGCTTATGTTTATTGTTGTGCAAGTGTTGCATATATATTCTTCTGTGAGATTTGCATTCTGTATGTATCAGAATTGGATACTTTAGGTTGCTTAAATGAGGCATGCAATTGGGTTTCTGATGTAGATAAGTAGCATGGTGTTGGCAAACAATTTATTCCTCTTTTCTTTTTTACTGTTTTTTGCGATGCGACCACTGTGAAAGAGAGATAATCATAATCATGTTTGGGAGAAAGGGGGGTTGGAGGGGATGATGCAGTTTGTTTGGAGGAGATGGGAAATCTTGATCTATATCACTGTAATGGAGCATAAATCTGAGAGAAACCCATACCAAGTTATATGTTCTTTCCTGCTGTTGTGTTGAAGCTTATGTAGAAAAGAATAATGAACAAAGTTACTTATTTTAGGTTTCAATATGGGTGATTGAATATTTTAATCCTTTTCCTGTCATCTCAGTTATATTTTTATGTGTTTCCTTTGCCTTTTTATTTGCAACCCCCTTCCCCCACCCTCACCACCCCTCAAAATACAAATGAAAAAAAAAATGAAAAACCTTTCTTCCCATGAAACTGAAGTTACTTTGTGTTATTGGAAGGTTGTCAATGTTCAGAATATAGCTTATAAGTCTTAAGGACAGCTTAAATATAGCATAACAGCAAGCCCACTCTACTGATGTATACATTAAGAAATCATTAAGTAGACTGGCAGACTGGTTAGTTTATAATTGAATTTCTGCTGCTCAACTATACCACATTAATAGGTAAACGAGGGCATCATAGACACTGGGGTACCAGGATGTTCAACTATGGTGATCTAGAGGTTCTGCATTTTCTTCTCTCAAATCTCAACTGGTAAATTATGAGTTCAAGCTTTCTGTTTGTCCCCCCCACCCCCTCTGTTTTCCTAGTGACTTTGATATGAGCTTTTGAGAAATAACTTGTTTCCTTTTTTCTTTCTGGAGGCAATATTGGCATTGGTTTTGAGACAATTCTTTTGTAGGTGGGTTGTGGAGTATAAGATTGATGGTTTCCAGTTTCATTCTCTCGCATCCATGTTGTACACACATAATGGTTTTGCTTCCTTTACTGGTGATCTAGACGAGTAAGCTGTCTTTTCACTCTTTTGAAACCTTTTCTTTCTATGACCACCTTCTTCTAGAGCTGGGAAATTATATTGATATTATTTGAAGTTCTTGGGCTTAATAAAGTATTTTTATGGGAAATATTTTAAACCTTATCACTAGCAGCTGCAACAATACATCTTCCTTTAAGTATCTTAGCTATTATAGGTAATTTGCAGCCCTAATATTGATATTTATGGGTTTTGGATTTCATGGTCGCATAGCCTTTTTTTTTTTTTTGGAACATTAGGACCTCATAGCTTTGCTCAAACCTAAATGATCAGATTGGAAAATGGTAGTTGGTTGGGCCCCTGGGCATGGGATCAGATAGTAGAGATGTGTGATCAGGGTGGGTAGGTTTAGGGTGGTTTGAGTAGCCCTAGCAAGTTAAGAACTGATTTGAAATAAATCGAACTTTTTCACAGGTACTGTAATCAATATGTTGACAGGGAAGCCTTAATGTATCTCATTTTGGCAAATGAGATACTGCATGCTCTGCATCCTAATATAATAACAATTGCTGAAGATGTAGGTATCATGCCTGCTGTGCCTCTTTACCAGATAAACTCAGTAACTTCTGTCTATTTTCATCTATTTTTGACAACCAAAATTACACAAGACTAGGAAGCCAAAATTATATCTATTCTGCTTTATGGGTTGAAATTTTATTTTATTTTATTTTTAATACTCAGGCAACATTTTACCCCGGGCTATGTGAACCAACTTCTCAAGGAGGATTAGGATTTGACTATTATGTCAATCTTTCTGCATCTGAGATGTGGTTATCTTTACTTGACAATACTCCTGAACGTGAATGGAGCATGACCAAGGTCATACAAGTTTTATTGGTTTTATTTATTTGTTTATGTTTTGACCAATGGCTGGACTATACATGTTAGGAAGTACATTTCCAATTCAGTACTAGCATATCTCTTCCATCTACTATTGCAACTTTAATTGTATTTACCTCAATAAAACAGGTTATCAGCACCTTGGTGGGCAATAGACAGTATGCAGATAAGATGGTTATGTATGCTGAAAATCACAACCAAGTAAGTTCAATTTTGTAATCTTTTGCTGTACAAAAACATTATTAGTTTAAAATGTATTAAAACAACTTATTCTAAGTTTCAGTTTTATATTCATTTCATGATGATATGTCCTGCCATTTCTGTTCTGTATTCTCAGTCTATATCTGGAGGAAAGTCATTTGCAGAGATATTGTTTGGGAGAATCCAAGAGAACTCTCCTCACTCAGAGGAATTGTTGCTTAGAGGGTGTTCATTACACAAGGTTGCTGTGTTTCTACATTTCTACATTTTTTCTATTGCACATTTTCTGCAAAAAAAATCAACCTCAATTGATTGCTTATCAATATAAGTTTTTAGCTTTTTTCAGCCATTCATATGAGTTCTTAGTTGTTCAGCATTTCTCACATTCCTAGCATTTATGTTTACAGATGTAGGAAGGGTAATTATACGTGGTGCTTAAAGTGGCTTGCAATTTAGCTTCTTCATTAAGATCATGTGTTTTCATCTGTTATGCATGTGCAACATTATATCATATCACATTAGCCAAAATCTAAGAGGAATAGATCACATGCATGAAGTTTAAATACAATACATCCTGTAAAAGTTGTATACTAGTTTTGTGCCTTTACTTCATTCAATAATCAGTACTCTTTTCCTTAAGCCAGATGATCAGACTGATCACATGCACAGTCGCAGGTCGTGGTTACCTCAACTTTATGGGCAATGAATTTGGACATCCAAAGGTAAGGGTACTTTTCTTTCACTTATCCATGCAGACTTTGTTTCTGTGATTAATTATCTTTTTATCTGCTAGAGAGTCGAGTTCCCGATGGCCAGTAACAACTTCTCATTTTCTCTTGCTAATCGTCGATGGGATTTGCTAGCAAATGGAGGAATGTATCAAGATTTATTTTTCTTCGATAAGGTATGATTTTTATAACTTGTTTTATTCTGTTCGACAGCAAATGGTGAGAAATCAGTGTCTGTTCTGTTAAAACTAGAAAGGAGTTGAGAAATGCTAGATTCATGGGGTATCTGTATTGATTTGATTATACTCTTTTCTGTTCCATATATATGTAGCAATCAAAATCTTTGAAGAGGACATTTATGCTTATTATGATAAATGGTTTACCACCTTTGGGTTATAGAATATGGTATACTTCAATTAGCATTGATTGCAAAAATATAATTTTTCTTCACGATGATTTTCTAGGACCTCATGAAGTTGGATAAAAATGAAAGGGTACTTTCTAGAGGATTTCCAAACGTTCACCATGTGAACGAGACCAATAAGGTATCACAATATTCTCTTTTCATTCAATAAATTAATCCCTTCCCTTTTTTATCTATATGTGTGTGCTTACACAATCAAACATAATTGCTGCTTCTTTATAAAGTTATCTGAATCTGTCTATCTATTAGCGTAGATGCACATACCCACAAGTATATACAGCTCAACTGTCACTGGAAACTTATTCCAACTAAACACGGATGTATTGCTGTTGCAGTGGTGTCTAAGCTTCAATGCATGTATAATAAACTAAGAGCAAGAAATTGATTAGATATAGAAAGCTTAGGAAACCAGACTTGTTATTTTTCTTGTGTTTTTATATGAGTTGTTCAGCATAGTATGAACCCGTAGGCTTAAAATTTATGGATTTAGCTTTCCTCTTTTCTCTTCAAGACATTTCATGGCAATGTTATAAATTCTTTTGCATGTAATTTTCTTAAGTTTCATTTTCTCTATTGTTTTTCTAGGAAATATGCGACAGTTATCTTATTAATTAGAGTACCTTTCACATATACAGGTAATATCCTACCTAAGGGGACCTCTTCTCTTCATATGTAATTTTCATCCCACAGAGTCATATGAAAGATACAGTGTAGGAGTGGATGAAGCTGGCGAGTATCAAGTAAGAATTTTCCCCATTTTAGTTTATCAAATATGGAATTTCTACCTAGTTTTATCTTCAGTGTTGCAACAACCAGAATGATATAGGGTATCATCTAGAGCACAGATATCGCATTATTTTTCTTTGGTAAGAAAATTGTCTAAGCATATCCATTCACTTGGGAGAGAACCATACACAAAAATACAAAGGGACTTAAGTCTAAAATTGAAACGAAATGGAAATTAGGAAAATTTGAAACTTCAACATCAATGGCAACTCCATGAATTTAAAGTTGAATTTGATTATATCCTCTCATCATTGCTCAGATCATATTGAATACTGATGAAAGAAAATATGGAGGCCAAGGACTTATAAAGGAGGACCAGTACATTCAAAGATCCATTAGTAGAAGGTAATCATTTACTTGACAAAATAACAACTGTGAAAGTCATTTTCTTTCATCTGATCTGAATCTCTTATCTGTCTGCCATCTTTTGCAGAGTTGATGGTCTACGAAACTGCCTAGAGGTGCCTCTGCCTAGCAGGACTGCCCAGGTCAGTAACTTCTGTGCCAATTAGTCATTAAAAATGATTGTTCAGGACCCTCCTTCAAAATCGTAATTTGCTTTACATATTATACTATAGATGATTATGAAATATGGAATGAATGAATAAGTGGATAGAAAATAAACCCAGGAGTTGTTTCACAAGGATCCTCATTCAATTGTTTGAAAAACAGTATTTATATCAAGCTTCTGCTTCAGCATTTTGTCGAACTCGGTATTTCAATATTTGTAGGTTTACAAGCTAACTCGGATTCTAAGAGTATGAACCACTTCACATTCTGGCTGGAACTGCTGGGTGGAGTTCAATGAATGAAAAAGCAAACGGCAGTCGCTCACTCATTATTGCATACCAGCATTCAGTTAAAGTTGAAAATGGTTCACTGAAGAGGAGTCATCCTGAATTTTTAACAACCAAATTAGCAGATGAAATGGAATAACTCTATCTTCCAATTCTCCTCATAATGTGGTGCTCACCTCTATACAATCTAGCAGCTACTGCTGCCTACTGGTGGGACATTGGACATTGGATATGGGACATGGTTGCCTGAAACTTCATTGTCTGGATGCTGGATGTATGCAACAATCAAATTCAAGGTTTCTACAACACTAAATCATTAGTTCTTAGTATTTATATAGAGTACCGTTTTTACCATTGTCATAGGTAGGGTACCGCTGTTGGATCAGTTCAGTCGGAACTCAGGCCGACAAGCCTTTGTTCAATAATACTTTTTAGTGTTTTAGTTTTTAGTTTTTATATTTTTTTATTACTTTAAAAGTATTTATATTAGATATATTTTATATATTTTTAAGATATTAAAAAACTAAAAAATCAACCACTGCAATTATTGGTTAGCACTCTTTCTTAAATATATTTTTATGTTAGGGTCATGATATAAGATAATTTTTTTATATTGTTATTTTATATAATTTTTACATATCATTAAATAAACAGATATATTTAATATTACGAGTTTCAAATGAATAAAAAAATAATTATTTAAATGATATGTAAGATTATATAAAAAATAATATAAAAAGTTTCTTCTTAAATCATTTTCCTTTTTATTAGGTTAAATGCTCATTTTGATTCCTCAACTTTATCAGTTTGCACATTTTTTATCTCTAAAGTATTTTTTGCACATTTTTGATCCCTTATATTTAAGAAATGCACAATGTTTGTCTTTCTGTCAATTTGGGTCATTAACTCCGTTCACATGACATTTTTTATTTTTTATTTTTATGACATGGAGAAGACAATGACTTTTTTTTATGACATGTTATCTTCCCGTGCCAAAACCCCTCCAATGCCCGTTCAATGGGTCCCATGTTACTTACAAAAACCACCAATAAAGAAAGATGTTTTTTGGGTTTCTCTTTCAACAATAAAAATAGAGATTTTCTTCAAACTCAAATTCAGATTTTCTTTGGGATTCCAAAGATTTTTCGCAGATTTCATTAATTAATTATCATTAAACTATAATTTTTTATGTTAATTAAAATTGAGATTCTAAATTAATTTATAATTAAATCACAATTTCCTCATCAAATTTTCTTAACAAAAAAGATTGAAACCATTTTCTCGACAGCCAAACACCCAAACTGTAAAATTTTCTAGCCAAACAAATGGAAACCCACTAAAAATTTCTTCTTTGCCCGTAGGTCATTGCTTCTGTTCTTTCCATCGCCCGCAATGCTCTTTCCATTTTGAACATTAAAATCATTTAGACAATAGTTAAGAAATATGAAGCAAAAGGATCTCAAAAATCCCTCACAACCTACAATTTGCATAAACTCAGCAAAAGGATCCTAAAAATCCCTCACAACCTACAATTTGCATAAACTCTTCATAACAAATATGTAACAAAAGAAAAAAAAAAGTGGAGCTGGGTTTGGTGGAACCCAATTACTGGGTTCTGGGTTCGATGGAACCCAGCGTTGGGTTCCTCGAACCGAGCAAATGTGGATTCGATTCGATGAAACCCAGCTTGGGTTCCACCAAACCTAGTAGATCTAGATTCGATGGAACCCAATTTGGAATCCAGCAGATGGGTTCCATCGTTTGACGGAACGCAGCAAATGGGTTCCATCGAACCCAAGCTAGGTTCCCTTGAACCCAAATCAGCTGGGTTTGAGGGAACCCAACAACACAGAGGAGGAAAATGAAGAAAGAATAGGAGGAAGAGGAAGAAAGAAAAGGAAGAAGAGGAAGAAAGAAAAAGAAGAAAGAAAGGAAGAAGATGGATGGAAAGAGGGGAAGAAGATGGATCAAGAAAGGGAGATAGGGGTATTAAGGTAAATTTGTAGTTTTTTATTTTTTTTATTAAAAATATAAATATTAATCTAATTTGGTATATGTGGGACATGTCATAAAAAAAAATTTAGATCATCACTTTTTAAGTTGTTTTCGTCATATCATAAAAAAAATATAGAAAATACCACGTGACAAAGTTAACAGCCTAAATTGATGGAAGGACAATCATGAGGCATTTCTTATAGTTAAGAGATAAAAAATATGCATAAAATACTTTAAGGACCAAAAATGTGCAAACCAATAAAGTTGAAGGATGAAAATAAGCATTTAACCTTTTTATTATTATAAAAATAAATCATAACCCCTATAAAAAAAAAATACAAAGCATGTTATCTTTTCCAATAAAAGGTGATTCCGATTGAAGTAGTTAGGCGGTTAGTATCCACCCTGTCCCTAAATGAACATAAAAATAAAAAGTTCAACTTTTAAAAAGTGAAAGTAGCAGTCGGAATTTTTTTTTAAACACAAACAATGTGATTAAATATTTTTTTTATCTTAATTATATAATGAGATATAATTATTTTCATCTTTTATCTTATCTCGTTTGTATGTTATATTATTCAAATTCAAGATCACGTATTTAGTGAAAGAGATGATCATTAAATTATTCAAGTCATTAGTAATGTAATTAAATATTTTATTCATATATATTACTTATATTAATTTTGTGTAAGTTAATTTTACAAAATTTATCACTATTAAATATATTAAAGTTTTTAATCAAATTATTATAAATATTCTACTTAAAAATTAACATGTATAATATAAAATTTATTAAACAATTATTTTTTAAAATTTTTTTTGTTAATTTTAAAATACATAATAAAATACAGTCCTCTCTTCTTCTCTTACCATATCTATATGCTTACATCATGAATCTAAAATTTCTTAGTTTACTTTTCACTCTAAATGAAAAAGTTACCACTAAATTTCAGAAATCATAAGTGGTT